TTAGAGAATTATTGTTTTTTTTATATAATATATATAGAGCTACTATAAGGGCCCGATAGGGCCCGATCTCAGTTCTTGTGAGGTTTTTGGGGGTCCTGAACATTTTTACTTAGAGGACCCGATCCCGTTTACTTAGTATGTTTTTGAGAAACGGGACCATAGGTGTAAAACACCATAGGTGCGTTTTAGTAAAAGTCATGAAATTTATTAATGAAGATTTTTTAGGTAATATTTTTATAGTAATTATAGAAAATTTTAAATAGTGCACAGCACTAACAGTTCGATAGAAATGAACAAAATTTTGCAAACACTAGTATTATGTCTCTATGAACAAAGTTATAGAGCCGTTTCTTTTATTTAAGCATGAAAAAAACTTTGGTTCAAAGAGAAAATCTAATTTGGTTTCTTTTCTATTTCTTTAGAAAAGAAACCAAATTAGATTTTCTCTTTAGATAAAAGTTTTTTTCATGCTTAAATAAAAGAAACGCTCTATAGCTTTGTTCATAGAGACATAGTACTAGTGTTTGCAAAATTTTATCCAATTCTATCGAACCGTTAGGGCTGTGCATCTATTTAAAATTTTAAAAAATCTTCATTAGTAAATTTTATTATATGACCATGTATAGTTTTGATTTACATAGTACATCGCACTCCCCAATGATACGTGTTGGCCCATTTCGCAGAGAGCGAAAGATCAATAAATGATTTTTTTTTAAAAAAGTGCAATATCTCATAATTTCACTGATAAAGCTGATCTGAGTATCTTAACAAAAAATATTCCTTACAAAATTTTACTTCACATGCAGTTAGTTTGTTTGTATTATATTTTACCAATGTAAATTTTATGTTTTACTGCGGTGGCACGTGGATTTATGTATCATTACCCGTGCCAAATCCTGTGCCGATTCGACTAGTAAACCCGTACCATTTACGGTCCAATTGGCACGGGCATACGGTCTCACACGAACCACCGAATCCGTACCAACTCAGACAAATCCGGATCTTGACCTGTGCCAGTAGAATTGACGGTTAGAAAACTGCTTGACAATAATTAGCTTGCAGAAAACACAGAATGTTCTGGAGATTTTTGTGGAGGTACTTTTGTAGAAAAGAATTTTTGAAGTTTCTCAAAGGCAAGGTCGGAGACTATGCAATAAAAATGTTACGTACCTTCAACAAAGGATCAAGCAAAAGTTTCCAGAGTGTAGAGTTGCAGCTCCACCCTATCCAATGACGGCGATAGCATGTAAGGCAGTTGAATATGGACTGGATAAGGATGCTATTAAAAATCGTGTATTAAAATGAACTTATGGGGTTGCAGTTCTTCCAAAATTTCAAATAGGTGATCTTCCATCACGCAAAAGATCAAGATGGATATATAGAGAAGTTTCATTTGATGGCTAAAAGAGGCGTCCAAGTAGAAGTAAATCAACAATTTTCCACTAAAATGTATCCAATTTATCCAGACCAAACTGATATACTTATTAAATTTTTTTATACGCGAAGAAAGCAGCACAATATTGTGATGATTCTGGAATGTGTAAGCTAGGAGAATTTATTGTTGATTTACAAGACGCACATTTAGGCACAGATAGACCTGTAACTCTTTATTTATGTTTTGGAGCAATGGAAATCATTGCAATAGCAAAGAATGAAACAAATGGGAAAGTTTATCGAACAACATTTAAGTTAGATTTGTAGATTTATGCTTTTCTCATTTAACTTTAAATGCTCATATTATATTATGCTTTACTATCTATTTCTATTTGTCATATTCTTTGAAATCTTTTATGTCATATATAGTATATATTTTAATTATTTTCATACTTTTTTTTTTTTTTATATATATTTTTAGGAAGAGTTATTATTCCAATTTCAATTTCTTACTTATTTAGCAATCTGAAATGTGCATAAGGATTTGAAAATTTTTATAAACAAAAAAATTTATTTAATTTAATCTTTAGAACACGAGATAACTTCATTTAAAATCGGAAAAAAGGAATTTGGCGTAGAAATAAATATTAAAATTAAAAAAAAAACCCATCAGAGTTGGTTTTAAATTTAGCTGAGTTGAAACATCCACTCATCTTTACAGAAAGGCACCCTTTTGTAACTCGTATTTATCACTTTCGTATACATATACTTTTTTGTATTTCAATAAGTGATCCTATTAATCAGCTAAATTCAGCAGGGCACAAAATTACAGCATGCCGCAACCTGCTTTCTTTCGGTAAACGAAATATAGAAACTCCTGTGAAAATAATACAATATATTTCTATTATAAAATTTCCAGCCGACGGAACTTCCGACATTTTACAATAGAGTTTTGTGCTCTGAAATACAGTAACAAAGTTCTCATAACAATAGACATTCTAATTAGTGTAGCATAACAAAATTGTAAAATTTCATAAAACAAAATTGTTAAAAAAAAATATATGATGCCATTAAAGGAAAACCTGTCATCGGGCTTTCAATTATAATTTGCATCGGACACAATTATTGATTAAATAGATCATGTCCAGTACAAAATACAATTGAAAACTGGTGACAGGTTTTCCCTTGACACTCATATTAAATAATACTGTAGATTCGTAGCTTCATTATCTCGATGGTTACATTAAAATATATTTAGTTTACATCCTTTGTCTGTGATTACGTACCCTTACTATGGGTGCCAGAGCACAACTTTAATTATTGGAAAGTAGTTTAGTCAATTAAGTGAGTTCATTATCGCGATAAAAAAAGGATGCTAGACAAATGGGCCAATTTGACTCCATTCGATTTTGTCATATGTGATATTTGCGAATATAATAATGACAATTTTTTTTTTATCAAGAAAAATGTACATACGTATCCCAGTTTATAAAAAATAAAAATTTTTCCACACTATTAATTTATACCATTTTAAAAAAACGTTATTTACACTAAAATAAATATTATTAACAACTTGGTATCGTAGTAAACATAACTTCGTAATACAGTCAGACCTCTCTAAATGTACGCCCTTGGGACAATGTGCATAAAGTGAATAATAAGAAAAAGTGCATTTGTATTTGGATCAACTTGAGCATGCATTTAGAGAGGGTGTGCACTTATAGGGTGTGCACTTATAGAAGGTGCACTTAGCGGTGTCTAACTGTATTTTACTAATGCTTATGACGTTCATACTATTACATATTACAGTGATATATACGGTATTCACTTCACCATAGCTTAATTTTACCGTACTTAAATTTGGCTTATTCGCTTCGTTATACTGTATATATTTGCTTATGTGTACCCACAAGTACTAATTAATTAACTCCATAATCATAAATAACCTAAACGTTTAAATATAATAAAGTTAATTTGTAAGTGCCAAAAGACAAAATAAAAACTTGATATAAAATTTTTATTTTCGTTTACAAAATTATTGTAAGGATTACTTAAATTAATCATAGTACTTGTGCACGATTTCGATCATTAGCCAATCACGGAGAGAGATGCTTGAGAGCACTCTTGATTGGATTCATATTAACTCGTAAATCAAAATTAAATTCAGAGTGCTCAAACCGTTTGCTCACGTTAATTTTCCTGGGTTTATTAGAGTTAATATTACTGATTACTGGATTATAAAGGAAAATATATTTCATATTCCGATTGTCAAATGAAAGCCTATTTACAAATTTATTAATATATTTGAATCGCAGTTTAAAAATTGTTACGGCTGATGTTGAAAATTTGACCTATTTTATCATGATATTTTAAATTTTGGGGGTTTTAGTAGGTGTTATAGATTTAAATCGGGACCTTAAATTTCAGCATCAACTGCGACAAAAATTACATGATTCAAACTATGGGAATGCATGTGATTATGAAATAATAAATTTAAAATCGATTTGAAGAAACACGGCTTAAGTCGATTCTCTAAGCCTATGTATACTTTCTATTCATGAACGCAAGGATAATTGAATTCACGTTCCGAATCAAAGACATGCACTGTAAATGCACCTTCATACCTTTGTTATCTCTCAAGTGATATAGTTTCCTTTCAAATTTCATTTCTTGCGTATTGGTTTAGAATATAGCCACGTCGAGTTGATTTTTGTATTTTCCTTTATATAGCCCGCCGACTCATTTTTTCAAAAAAAAAATTTTTTGTTTTAAATCCAATCTTTCTTTATTTGCTATTTTTCTATTTTAGCTATTGTTTTTTTTTTTTCGGAAATTTATCCGGTACCATTGATGGAGACCTTTTTCTCGGAATTATTCGATAGGACCGATAGAAAAAAGAAAAATCTGATCGATGACTCAATTTTCTGATTTCATGTTATACAAACCGAAAATTAATTTTGCATAACCTAAGATGTGAACTTGAGTCTATCAATTTACAGTTGATTAAAAAAAAAATCTGACCGACCGACCAGAATTTTTAATGCAAAACGAAAATCAGCTTTGTGTGGCTTTACCCGCTCTCCCCATCACTTTCAGTAAAAAAAAAATTGGGACATATACGGTGTTCATAATTTGGGCCAGATTACATAATTTCAACCCTATACTAAAAATTTATCGTAAAGGCACAGGTTTGTGGCTCAATGATCAAAACCGATTCTTGGTTCGTGTAAGGGCGACAATTGGACGTTTGTGACACTTTACTAGTCCAAATGGCACGGGTAATTAATTAGCATAAATTAACGTACGTACGTACTATACACTGTGATAAAAAAATACAATCATGTAGATTATATAAAATTTACATCAATAATCAATAAAAACATGAACAAACTAGCTACATATTTGTGTAGTAAAATTGTGTGAGGATTTTTTTATTATTATTAGTGCAATTTTCATCAACAAAGTTATGAGATATCGCTAAAAACAAATCGTTTATTGATCTCTCTCTCTTTGTAAAACAACCTAACATGTGCCATTTTTGAAACATCATTCTATGAAATGTAGATGCCATTCCATGTGATGTGACATAATGTGCCACTTCTTCTGTAATGTCCGTGCACTTTTAACTCTGCCATTCTGTGAAACGTTCCTATACATATCACACGACCGTGTCATTTCGTGTATTTCCGACGCCAACCAGTACCAATCCCGGATCACTGTTCTTATAAAGGAACGGAATTACGAAATAAAATATAAAGGTTCCTGAAAAAATAAAAAGTTAAGTAAATCTCGGTATTTTCCGAAGGTAATAATAGTAATAATAAGTTAGATTTATTTTCATGGATAATCGGATGATCATGAAATCAACCCCTATTTAATATATGAATTTTAAAAATTTTTTAGGGTACATTTTTTTATGCTTTTTTTAGATTTGGACTATGATTTAAGGTTAGGGTTTATAATAAAAGATATAGGTGGGTTTTAGTAGGGTTTATAATAAAAGATATAGGTGGGTTTTAGTAGGGTTTATAATAAAAGATATAGGTGGGTTTTAGTAGGGTTTATACAGGACGATGATTTTCTGCGGTGATTAAGACTAAATTCTGTATGTGGTTAAGACAAATTCTGTGATTTAATGTGATAAATTTTTTGTCAATCCTGTGCAGTTCTGAGGTGTCATTTCATAATTTCTGTAATTTTATGTGATTATTTATTCGTCTAAACCATATAATTCCGTAATTCCCCGACGAACCCGTTCGTATTTTATGTTGATTTATTGTCCACCCAGCCGTGATTTCCCAGCTCCTGGCCTGAATTGCTAAAATATTTTAGATTATGTGATGTTCTGCGGCGACTAAGAGTGATTTCTGTGATTGGCTGTGATTAAAAGAAATTCCGTGGTTTTCTGTGAATCACAGAAAATCACAGGCCCTGGTCTATATTTTTAAATTAAGGCCTTCAAATTTCACAATCATTCGATTTTACCATCACCCGCAACATTTATTATTAATTTTTGTTTTCTCACCTCCAACACTTTTGAAAGAGAGGAATGTAATGGTAATGAATCGAGTTGGCCTGGCCTAAGTGTAAATAAAATTTTTATTATGAGGTATCATACGCATTAATGCGCATCTTTGCCATATCTATACACTATTAATTCATGAATATTATAATATTTATAGTTAAGAAACAATGAATAATAAACATTTACTAATTTGTAGCACATAGTACAGTATTAACACGTGTTTAGGCATATGATAGTTTGAAAATCATGAAAACTTTACATGTTTTTACAATCAAAATTATCAATTCATTTATTTCATTAATAATTTTTTAAAAATGTAAATATTTATTTTTATAAAAAAAAACTTATCTAAAAACTGGAATGATTTAACCATTAAAAATTGGATCATAGTTCCGGTCCTAATTAAGCTGGCGAGCACCAAAGTTATCTTAATTCCGGTTAAGCGGTTAAACTATTATAAAGATTATAGACAGTTCTAATCTCTAAACGTATCTTTGATGATTTAACTAAGTATGCGTGCACAGTATTATCTCGTAAAATGGCCAATTTATGTACTCAAAATTACTCCTAAACTTTAAACATAACTTAATCCAAAATTTAAGTTGAAATTATATACATTTAGACCTCCGTAAATGAAATCGTTGGGTCCAGTATTTTGATAATATCATCTGCACAGTTTTACAAAAAAATTAAAATGAAATCTGTGTAAAACTTCAGACTCACCAGCTATAGCTACAGAAATTAAACACAATTCTGTGCAAATTTTCAATATATAAAAAATTCTGCGAAAAATGGAGATTTTTGCAATTTTTTTAATTTTCCTGATGATGCATTTAGAGAATAATAAGAAAATTTGCATTTATAGAGGTCAGAAATATATTCGGGCCAGTTGCATTTAGGGAGGTATTGCATTTAGGGGGTTGCGTTTTAGGGAGGTCTGACTGTATATAAATTTTATGCTAAAAGGCAGTATTGTTTCGTTAACAAGTGTCATACAATATTATTATTATTATACTATAATGAAGTTTCATAAATTCTTTCTAGAATTGCATATGGTACGTATGTAACAGATGTGCGAAAATTGAATACATTATTAGTCCGGAGTCGCGTATTAATCTCCGAGAAAGCACAACAGGTTATTTGTTTGTGTAACATAGTCAACTAAGTTAATTAAGTTGCTTTTTTTACTTAATTGATATGCTTGTGATATGATATTTTCTGCAATAGAAAGTACTTACTAATGACTTTGTATTTCCATAACTATCCGTAACCGTATTTAACGTTCAACGTGGTCAATAATTTTTCTCAGCTGCTAATTGACTACTTTTACCAACTGTAAACGTCTGTCAGGTAAAATAAAAAAAAATATCGAATTCATTATAAAAATTTTCAATTAAATGATACATATGCTTTTTTTTTTATTTTGGTCATTTCTCAGCGGCTAATTATATGACTATATCCTCCTTCATATGATTTTTCACCGGTCATATAATATTAAATTATTGGTTATTATTTTGTTCAATAAAAACGATCAAATTTGAGAAATATACAATATGGTATTGCAACCTGACTTGGTTCTTAAAAGTCACTTTATTATCACCATTGTCCTTGCTGGCGTATGTACAACTAAGTTTCTTTCTTTGAGTCTAGTTTTCTGAATATTTTGTCATATCTAACTTTATGCTTGCGATTTTTAGATTGGTTGGATTATACTACTTGGTGGTGCCGGGGCCGTAACTTCAGTAATTGGCAATGACAAGCATTTACTTACTGCTGCCTCGGTCACGAATTATTTAGCATCCTTGTGGCTTTACATAATATATCAACTTGCCATCATAATGAGTCTTTTTATGATTATTGCAAGTGGCACTATGCTACATTATCGATTTGCTGTATCCTTTAAAATGTATTTATTACGTTTGCGTGCTAATGAGTCATTCAAGTCATTAAAGCCTTATCATATATATATATACTCGCATGATTAAAGAAAATTGTCCATAACTTTTATTTATTGTACAGATTCTGTCGCTTATAATCATCAGTTTCATTTCTAATTGCTTTGCCGCTAATTATAACTATGGTTATGACCCTAGATTAAGAGCTCTTGTAGCTGGTGCTTCTATTCTTGCTATTGTCAATGTAACTTTTCTAATTCATTCTCACATATATGTGTGTGATAAAAAATATACTAATACTGTAAACCATTTTTAGCTTTTTTGGATAATTTTGATTGGATCAGAAGAAGATTCTTCTACAGTAAAAACGATTGACGGATTTTATAATAATTTAAATTTTGATTTTACACCTCCAAATAAGAATAATTTTGTCGGCACTCGATTTGCCCCTCAACCATCACCAATGTATACCTCTGACGTTAGAAGCAATCAATTGAGTGTGGTTATATCTCCTACGGAAACATCTTCACCTATACAAGCCAATAATACCATGTATATCGCTCAAGTTCCAATGCAAAATCAATATTCTAGTGCTATATTACCTTCAACTTCTACTCAAGCTCAACAAATTGTTTATCCTGAAAATACTCCTATCCAAGATCAAAATTCGACTACTATTACGACTGTGCATCAATCGATGTATAATGGAAATTTTAATGATTATAAGTACAAAGCTAAAGCTTTATATGATTGTAAGCTAAATCAATAAATTCATATTTATCATGATCTTTAATTTTGTTTCGTATTTTTAAACGTGTTAATCTTTTAATAATTTTTTATTTTAATAGATCATGGAAGTCCAGAGGATCGTACCGAGCTTTCGTTTGCCAAAGACGATTATCTTGATATTGCTAGTAAAGAGGGTAAATGGTGGAATGCAAGAAAGGCCGATGGTACAACTGGCATTGCACCGAGTAATTATGTAAGTTATGCTATTTATTTTTATTACTGTATCAGCACATTTTTCTCTATTAATCATTACATTTTTTTATTTCAAATAGTTGCAGTTATTACCTTAATGAAATGAAAAATATATGTATGAGAATAATTGATTTTATTGAATTTTATGTTATATTAATGTCATATTCATACATAATTTAAATTTCAAGCGATAGAATGTTTTTGTAAATAATCTATTATCTTTATGTATTATGGATTAAATGAATTTATGAATTTAACAAAATAAATTATTTACAATATTTTTAAAAAAATTATTCCATAAAAGAGAAAACTTAGTTAAATCATCAAATAAACATAAAGCACGTAGAGGTACGAACTGAAATTCAAAAAGGAAATTAAACAATAATTAATATTGTTGCAGTTTCCTTTTTGAGTTCGCGTCTCGGTGTTAACCACTGTTTAAATGTAATAGAGACCAATAGTTTATACATATCTTAATTAGAAACAAAATCCTTTTGCATATGTAACGTTGCACCTTACAATTATAATTGGGATAAAAAGTTTTTTGCATTATATATTTGTAAAAACTAAGGGTGACAAGGGGAATTCTCGGACTTTAGGAATTTTTCAGGGCTGTTCTATTAATCACGTCCGACTGCTAAATCACATGACATTTAACCAATAATGTCGTTGGTTTATACTCGTTATTTGAAAAAATTCTAATTTTCGGAATTTAGGATTTATTTTAGAAATTCAGGGCATCTAAAAATGAGCTCAAAAACTAACTTTAGTAAAAACTATACCGATACGCAAGGTAAAAAAAAAAAAAAACTTTTCAAATGTCGCAAATAGGAACTAAATTACTTGAATGATTTTCTAATGATTTTGCACAACTTTAACCGAATATGAAAATATATTATCGTTAAAGTTGAAAACAAAGATTTAAGTTATATTTATTAGTTTTATATCAACGTTCATCATTCTTTTGTAAATAATTAACAACCGTGATTAAAAGAATAATATTATTGAAATTACTTTAACTCATATTTCTGTTGAAGTTTTAAAATTTTAATAAAGTAATTTTTTTATAATTAATTAGTTTAATTAAATTTGCTAAAGGTGAAACTCACCAGTAAGGTGCAGCAATATTAGATTTTATTATTATTATTGTATAATTTTACCCAAATTTTAAAGTTAGACAAATAAGTCTAAATGTTTAAATTAAAGCTTGCTTAAAGTTAAAAGTTATATTTCAGAACATTTACTTAGTACCGGTATTGAAAAAATAGCACGTCTGGTGAACTTTACAGCTAGTAAGCTAAAATCATTCTTATGTAGTTAAATGCTAATTCTTAGAATTAAAGACTACACTTAAAAAATAATATTCCTTTATTTTGATATTTTTAAATATATTGTAAAAATTATCGACAAATTGGATTAGATTTATAGGATGATATTACGAAAAAGACTATGACACCTATGCATCTATTTCTTCGATTATCTTACATGCTCATAAAAAGATTCATAATCCTGAAAAGGCTCTTTCCAAGATCAAAACTCGACACTATTCCGACTGTTGTATAATAAAAATAAACAGCATTCTAATTCTGTACTGGGTGATTATAAGTACGAAGCTAAAGCTTTTTATGATTGTAAGCTAAATCAATAAATTCATATTTATCATAATTCTTAATTTTGTTTCATATTTTATATAATTTTTATTTAATAGATCACGGAGGTTCAATGGATTGTACGAGCTTTCGTTTGCCAAAGCCGATTATCTTGATATTGCTAGTAAAGAGAGTAAATGGTGAAGGAAGGCCAATGGTACAATTGGTATTGCTCCGAGATATACAATTAGAAATATATAATATCTTACTCTTATCAATACTGTATCAGCAACTGTTATTTTTCTCTATTAATCATTCCCTTTTTTATTTCAAATAATTGCAGCTAATTACCTTAATGAAATGAAAAAATGTTGTATGAGAATAATTGATTTTCTATGAATTTATATGTTTTTTTTTTTTTATATTGATACCACATTCATTATTTACAATTTTTTGAAAAAAATTATTCCATAAAAAGAGAAATCTCATTTAAATAATTTTCTAGATCTCTCATCATAATAAAGTGCGGTGTTAACCGCTGTTAGTTTATTAGAGACTAATAATTTACACGCATATTGCCATTCTTATACAGTACGTGCGTACCTTGATTTACAGCTGTTTTCAAAAGATGAAAGCAGGTACAAACTTCGATTTCCCTTATTCACGAAATCAAGAAAATCAAGGAAATCATGTGGGTTTCCCATAATATTAATATAGTAATAGTGGTTACACCTTTTTGAAAACAGCATTTTTACTGATACAACGTTACACCTTACAAATTAATATAAAACACGTGAAAAGTTATTTGCCACATTATTTATCTCACTATACTGTACCGATACGCAAAGTAAAAAAAAAAAAAAACTTTTCAAATGTCACAAATAGGAACTAAATTACTTGAACGATTTTCTAATGATTTTGCACAACTTCTTGAAACTGAATATGACTATAATGTTATCGTTAAACTTGACAAACAAAGCTTTAAGTTACATTCATTAGTTTTATATCAACGTTCATCATTCTTTCGTAAAGAATTATCAACCGTAACCAAAAAGAATAATATTATTGAAATTACTTTAACTCATATTTCTGTTGAAGCTTTTAAAATTTTAATTAAGTAAGCATTTATTTTATAATAAAATTTGCTAAAAGTAAATTTACCAGTGCAGCAGTATAAGTATTGCATGATTACACCCCAAATTTTAAAGTTAGAATTAAAGCTTGGTTAGAGCTAGAAGTTAGATTTTCAGAACATTTTCTTAGTATTGGAAAAATAGCACGTCTGGTGAATTTTACTTTTGGTGGTTCTTATAGTTAAATACTAATTAAAGGTCATTTAATTTAGATATATTTACACAGGTACAATTTTATTAGAAAATTTTTCGGAATCTACTATATTTGATCTTTTAGTTCCATCCAACAAATTAGGTCTAGAAGAATTAGTTGAATACATTCAGGCTTATCTTATCGATAACAAAGCATCATGGCTTCGACTAAAATTTACTCAAGTTTATTCTACTAGTTTCCAAGATATTAATTTTAAGACTTTACAAACTTTTTGCACTGATATCCTTGCGAAACATCCTAACTTAATTTTTGATTCTGATGATTTTATTACTATCCAAGAAAATGCGTTGATAACTCTTTTAAAGAGAGATGATTTACAGATAGAAGAGTCGGAAATTTGGGATAAGACTATTCAATGGGGAAAAGCACAAACTCAAGATATGCCTTCTGATCTCAAACAATGGACTGAAAAGAATTTCTTAGATTTAAAGACTACACTTGACAAATGTATTCCTTTAATTCGATATTTTCAAATGTCTGGAGAAGATATTGTAGCTAAAGTTAAACCTTATCGACAAATTCTTGGAGTAAACTTATGGGATGATATTACGACAAAGAATATGGCACCTAATGCATCTATTTCTTCGATTATCTTACCTGCCCGTAAAAAAATTCCTATTCAACTTCCTGTCCGAGGAGTTCACTTTATTAATCCATCGTCTATTATTAATGATGAACATTTTGCAGAGATTTCATCTTGGATTGATCGTCGATCATCGATATATGATGTTACAAAAATATTTTACAAGTTTAATTTTCTTCTTAGAGGAAGTAGAGATGGATTTACTCGTGAAGCATTTCATAGGTTATGTGATAATATTCCTGGCACTGTGACTATTATAAAGATTAATGGCACAAATGAAATACTTGGTGGATATAATCCATTAGTCTGGTTGTCTCGTAATTCAATTGAATGGTTTACAACAAAAGATAGTTTTATTTTTTCATTGAAAACCGAAAATTTATCGAATTCCATCCTTAGCAGAATTATCCATGCAAAGGAAGTAATTGGATGTTATAGGCAGCATGGTCCAGTTTTCAGCTGTGCTTTCTATACAAAAAATGATGGTAAGGTATGGTCTTATAAGCATTATGATGAATTTTACGAGAAACGACTTAGGAGTGATAGTTTCCAGCGTCATTCAATTGATGAGTTTGAAGTATTTCAAGTTTTGAAAAACTGATTTGAATATTGAGAACTTTTTGCTGAACATTTTTTCAGGGCCAAACACAAGTATGTACTTATAGAGATAATTTACTAGTTCTATTTGAGATTGAAGTGTTCTCAAGCTTATTTACGTATTTTACCGATTTTCTTTTATTATTATAAAATTTGTCAGAAGAAACAATGTAGTGTGGATTACAACCCTTTAATTTTATAATATCTATTCACTAAAAAATTTTTTGTAAAAAAAAAAGTATGAAATTGATTAAGCTTTATTTACTCTAGTAATTACAAAATTTTGATAAACAATGCCAAAAAAAAGATGGTTTGAGGCAAAATTGTTGTTTTTTCTTGATGTAATAAACTCCCTTATTTATCTAATCGATAAGCACGCTTAATCAGTTAATCAAAATTTAATTCCCAACCTATTTTCAACTCATTAAGATGCAAAACTTCCCAAAGCTAAGGTATAGGATGCATTCAAAAAGTATATTTAAAGAGGGCTCTCTATTTAATGTACTTTTTTTGCTATTTAATAAATTTTATCTGTCGAATTAGTACAGATTTTTAGCTTATGTTGGTCTGTATACTAGTGCCAATTGGACTGATAATGACTCAGGTTTTACAACACTTTACTAGTCTAATTGGCATAGGTTTTGGTACAGATGCACATAAATTTATGTACTACTAAATTTCAAACATACATACTAAAACATAAATTAACATCAATTTGAAATTAAAGTAATTGCATATGTGTAAAATTCTGCAAGGAATTTTTTGTTAAAAAATTTACTAATTCTTCACTCTTTAGATATATGTATATATGTATTATTAAATATGTTCTATTTCATAAGATGTAACAAAACATACCACCACTTTACTATAATATCTATATTATTTTTAGCAATATCATTACATAAAATAAGCCTCTATATGCTACACATCTGTACCATTTTTTGCATTCCCAAAACCAACCTGAGCACAACCTGGACCATTTTTCTAATAGAAATAATGTTATTATAATTATCCATATAATTGTAATTGATCTATGAATTAATATTATTATATATGATCATATATGATCATATAGTACTATAGCATTGTAATTTATTTGTTATTCATTTATTATCTGAATGCTGTAAAGCAAAAATCTAAATTTTATTTTTTGAAATAATTCTATGTTTTTCTTTGCAGTACTCATTTTAAAAATCAATATTCACCTTAATAAAGAATAATTAAAATAACAAGTAAGTTTGTAACAGACTTCTTCTATAGTAGCACATGATAATTCTAATGCAAACTAACTTAATACATACTGAAATTACAGAATAGTAAGTAAGTTTTATAAATTTTATATAGTAACTACAGTAACTTTAATATATATAAACAAACTCAGTATTAATTATATAGAAATGCATACTAGCTTAATTTAACTGTGTATTATAATTATTAAAACAGCAGATAAGTTCTGTGACAGAATTTTACAGTTATAATTCTAATACAACTAACTCAACCTAGAAATTTCCAATGCAAACTAACTCATTTTTAATCACAATTATAGTTATCAGAATATCAAACAGGTTCTTTAAAAATCTTTCTAGTAAAAACAATAATTTTAAATAGAGATATTATTCTGCTTGCCAAAACTTAGTTTGATTCTGTTTGAAACTGAACCTAATAGAACTTGATTTTTGTAGTCACAGGATTTTTATTATCAAATCATGCTTTAAATTGGTTATTGATTTACTGGTAATTTAATTTATTACTATTATTATTATTATGACAAATAAAAAATTACTATTATTATAATGAACAAAAATTAATTTTCTTTGATTTTTTTAATAAAAGTTAATTTAAAGTAATATAAAATTACTATCATTATTATGAACAAAAATTAATTTTCTTTGATTTTTTTATAAGTAAATTTAAAGTGGTATGAAATTACTATTGTTATTACAAACAAAAATCAATTTTTTTTGATTTTTTTTTAAATTAAAAGTTAATTAAAATTGCATAAAATAAGATTACTTTCATTATGATGAAAAAAATTACTATCATTATGATGAACAAAATCAATTTTTTTAAAGCAGCATGAAATTACTATTGTTATTATAAACAAAAATCAATTTTTGATTTTTTTTTAATTAAAAGTTAATTAAAGTGGCATAATATGAGATTACTATCATTATTATGAACAAAATCAATTTTCTTTGAATTTTTTTTAATTATTAATCAATTATTATTATTTTTTTATATAAATATGTAATTTCTTTCTTTGTTTTTTCATAAATTTTTTTTACTTAAATTTCACAATTCAATAATAAAGACAATACATTTGATTTAATTAAACCTATCTTTTCAAGTACAATGTTCAAAATGTATTTGAACTTGTAATGCTTATTAAATTAACAAACAATTCTTCAAAGCAATTAAAAAAGAACTCTTTCTAGAATAAACTTATTGAAATAAGTAATAAATGACATTGCAAATTTTGCAATAAACCTTATTTGATAGAAACAGGTCTCTCTACTATTAAGTCCTATTTTAAAATAACTATTTAGAGAGGTGAAATGAAATTATAGTAGCTGTTAAGGCAAATATTAAACCTTACAGTGCTAATAAGATTTTACAAGTCAACTAATATCTTCTAAAATAGATTATTACAGAACAACAGCCTTTTCTATTGTTAAAA